TTTTTTTAATTGCTAGAAAAGTGCATCTGTACGAGAAATGTGTATCTTTATGAGAAAAGTGCATCTGTACGAGAAAAGTGAATCTGTAATATAGTCCCCAAATTCCACTTTATTTCCACAATTATTTGCAAATTAAAAATGTTCACATTATTTTACATAACAGATGTTCAGAGAGTTTGGCTCTGGTTACAGAATGGGTCCAAAAAAATGAACAAACTTATCTAAAATGTCCATACATAAATTACAAACTGTTAAAAAATTTAACTTTAGCCTAGAGTCTAAATATTTTGGCGTGCATTTAAAAAAAAAAAAAAAAGAATGCCCTGTACAAGGATTGTATGGTACAGTTTAGGACTAGCATAACATTCCCAAGTAGCTTGGGGTCAGATTGAACGGAGGTGAAGGTCAAAACAAAATTAATACCTATTATCTTATTAAAGGCAGCTTGTCGTTATGTATTTCATGGTGCTTAAGTCTTTGATAGGCTACTCATTTTTAATGGATATGGCAGTGTGGTGTTTTTGGATTCTTGGAACAAAAATCAAACAAATTTACACTAGCTGGTACAGAGTGGGAATAATAAAATAGACTATTTTACAACTGTTTTTCTTAACAGAAAAAAAAATAATCATAAATATAATTTAGTTATAAATTTTAGCTTAATTTCCTAATGAATTTTTTAAAATTAAATTAATAATTAAAATAATTAAATTCATTAAAAAATTAAAACTTGGTGGAGCATTTTTTTTTTTTACAAAATAACAAAAAACAAAAAAAAACATTACAATGTATAATATTTGTTACTTTGCAAGAATATTTGGCATCTGGAATGTTTTGAAAGAATGGTAAAGATTTGTGCCCACAAACATGTTGGATGATGGTCCTCTCTCAATGGTCCTGTCATGTTATCATTTCATGTGTGAATTAGATCAGAATTATTAAATATAAAATAATCTCAAGCAATAGTTTTCAACATTCCTAATACCGCGCCCCTTTAAATCCAGTTCCTCATGTTGTGGTGACCCCCCCACCAACCATAAAATTATTTTTCATTTTTAAACATGAGTTTTCCTATGGTCTTAGGCGACCCTGAGTAAGGGTCATTCCACCCCCAAAAGGGGTCGCGACTTACAGGATGAGAACCGCCCATCTAAAGCATAAATATTTTACATAAGCATGATAGAGGGTAAGCCACTGTTGACTAAGATAAGCCATTGATGACTAATGTAAGCTGTTGTTGACGATTTTAAATATCCAAGTACAATTTTGTGGGTGCAGTTAATTCAAGGCACTTTACAGTCAGCAGAGGGCTGGGCACATAGGAGTACACACTAGAGGAGACAAAGCAAATCAGAGCTTTTCTATAAAAAATATATCATCACAAACAGAACCATCACAAAAGTGAAGAAAAGAGCTCACTTATGAGATTTGCATGCATGAAACAAGCTGTCATTATTGAGTAGACTGTAAATAAGTTTCATTTCCTAGATTTCTGTGCACAACATGGTAAATTAGTTTAATTTCCTGCACTTCTGTGCACAACACAGTAAATTAGTTTCATTTCCTGCCTGTCTGTGGACAAAACAGTAAATTTTTTTTGGTGGCCAAGGCATTGTTCTGATTTGATTATTCTTGTAGCAGAGAATAATATTTAACCATTTTTGTCCATATAACAAAAAAAAAAAAAAAAAAAAAAAAAAAAAAAAAAAATCACCAAATTTTAAAATCAGCTTTACTTAAAAAACCCTGACTGAAAAAATGTATTATGAAAAAAAAAAAAATGAAAATATTTCACTTTAAAACAAGAAATGACAACTGTAAAATTCATGCTTGATTCCTCCACTGTTATCAGATGAACAACATTTGAAGAGACAATCAGTCACACTAAACTCACTCATCAAGCAATGAAGAGACAATCAGTCACACTAAACTCACTCATCAAGCAATGAAGAGACAATCAGTCACACTAAACTCACTCATCAAGCTATCGATGAATTACATGTTCAAGAATTATTTTTTTTTTAATCTTGAGAAAATGGAAAAAAAGGGGAGAAAACTACTGTCAACACAATGAGCATTCAGAACTGAGTTGCTGTTCCAATGACCTAGGAATTTACCCCATAATGCTGAGGTTCCCAAAATTTTATGGCATCACTGCTCCATCCAGGTTTTCTCGAGGCTCCCAAAGTCAAAGTGCACTGCGAATCAGTCAATGTTTTAAGACACAGTAAATTCTTTATGTAAAAAGTGTTTTTTCCACTTCACGGCACCCCTGTGACGAGGCAGCAGCACCCTAGGGCGCCATGGCACACAGTTTGGGAACCTCCGTCTTAATGACCTGTCACATGCCACAATTAGTTTAACAAAGTACATTTCATCAACTCTCAGTGATCAATAAATATTAAGAAAATGCATACAATTAAGAAAATATACAAATCTTTAAAAATGTACAATGCATACAAATATTGAATTGTGAAGTAGAAAAATGTAAACGTACATAATGCCTTTGAAAATACAAATTTGTAATAAAAAAATAATACAAAATTCTCCATAAATTTTTCTTTACATTGTATTTTGGTGTTATTTATTTTTTTTTTAAATAGTAAATTGAATTAAAATTAAAATAGGAAAACAATATTTAATAAAATTAACTAAGGCTAAATATTTACAACTCTTTCTAAATCAGCGGTTCTCAACCTTCCTTATGCCATGACCCTTTAAGCTCCTCATGTTGTGGTGACCTCCAACCACAAAATTATTTTCGTTGATATTTCATAACTATAGAGTATATATGTTTTCCGATAGTCTTAGGGGACCCCTTGGAAAGGTTCGTTCGACCCCCAAAGAGGTCGCCACCTACAGGTTGAGAACCGCTGTTCTAAATGCTTTAAATCACAGCAGTATGCTAGGATGATGTAGAGCTAGTCAATGAGGAAGATTGTATGGAATAATTGCTAGCAGGAATCGTCTGATTTAATAGCGTGTACGAATGTATCAGTTGAGAATAGCATCTTTGATGAGGAAACTGATGTACTGACAAATGGACGATTTTTTTAATGTGTGTATCCAGCTATCGTGTTGTCGTGTAGTAAGACCTGGTGAAAGGTGTAAATAAAAAATAAAAAATAAAAACTTAGCTGAAATGATACTTTAGTACTAATGGCTACCTTGAGTGCTGGTCTAGTCTGTAAGAATTACATGAGCCAGATTTTTTTTACTGTGCCAGGCTGGATGACTGACAAGTCATTCAGTATTATAATCCCACTGCTACATTGGCACTAGAGTACATAGTAATGATACTTGTGGTTATGATCCCACTGCTAAATTAGCACTACAGTACATAGTAATGATACTTATGGTTATAATCCCACTGCTAAATTAGCACTACAGTACATAGTAATGATACTTGTGATTAGGTAAAAAATATACAAGAATTAGTTGCAATGCATGACAGTGAAATATAGTATGTCCATGTGGCTCTACGCATGAATGCTTACATTTCAATAAATGACAATGATATATAGTATGTCTACATGGCTCTAGACACGAATGTCTACATTTCAAGACATGAAAATGACAGAGTCAAACTCATGACAATGACAAATGCACTGGAAGAAAATAAATATTTTTTGGACGGACGGCTGATGTAAATTTGTAGGAGATGCAGTCTGTGTAATACCCTGTCACAGTCTCACAATACCCTGTCACACTCTCACAATACCTTGTCACACCTTTATTAAAAATACAGTTCAAAGGCACACCTTAATTAATACAGTTGAAAGACAGACCTTCGTTACTACGGCGACAGGCAGACCTCCGTTACTACGGCCACAGGCAAACCTCCGTTACTACAGCGGCAAGCACACCGTCGCACACAAGGAAGGAGTGACCCAAGTACTGTAACAATCTTGTAACAAAGCTGTGACACAGACTTAAGATTGAAGAATGGTTTGTGTCGCCAATGGCTGTTACGGATAATGTTATAATCCACATTCACAGTCAAGTCAACTGTGGCCTTTCAGGGAGACCCATCCAACTAAAAGCTTCTGATCATTTAATGTCATGAAACTTAAACACATTTTAAGTTGGACAAAAAAAACTTCAAGAAATCGAAAGTGTCTTCAAGATTTTTTACCATCTGTTAGCCAAGTGTTGCAATTCTGTGAGAATTTTATTCGAAAGGAAATGAAAAAATAAAACAACACTGCAGCTAAAAATGTGAAGCTCTTAGAATGTCCAGAGCAAAAAAATCTGGGGAGAGGGCTTTGTTGCTTGGTTGTTGCATAGTGACGGGGTCAAATGTTGAAAGGTTATGACTGGTGGACTGGGTGCGGGCTCAAAATTCTTCCTGGAGAGAGAAAGGTCGGAGGTCAAAAGGAGAATTTGTCGAATAAGACGTCACCAAGGAAGTGATGTCAGGCGAGTTGGCGGGATGACCCTGAACCTCTTGGAAATGCAATGTGTGCAGTGACTGCTCAGACGCTGACCTTTTGATCTGTGAAGGAGACAAACTTCTCTGATGGTCAGCTGGATTGAGATACCTATCAGGTTTCACACGCTCTGAATTTTTCTGTACTGTCTGTCCTCCATCATTTCCAGATAAGTGGGCACCCCGAGCAGATCTGACCATTGGATCGCCATGTTTGTGAGCTGGCCTTTTCAAGGGCTCTGATTGACCCACTTTTCGGATCATGTCAGTGTCATTGGCTTTATACCTCTTGGCCTTCACGGAGTGAAACTGAGCGGACGAATCTTCAAGGTCAACAGGTCTTGTCACAAGCTTTTTGGGGTCAACCACCTTTTCTGATCGGCCCTTTGAAGTGTTTCTCTCTCGACCGCCACTGTTTGGCTTCCTAGATCTACCTGGCGAATGTGGTTCCTGGTCTCTGCAATAATTATCTCCTGCTGGGGTACCATCATGTGATGGTATGGAGGACTCGTTCATTCCATCCCATATTTGGGTATCCGACTGATTCTGCTGAGACCAGAATAATGATGTCATCGCCTTGACGGGAGCTTGGTCCCTACGACCCCAACTCTGGTACTCATATTTATTTCGAGAATGTTGGTGTCCGTCTGTGGGGACCCTGCGGTCGTGGTGTGTATCTCTGATATCTCCTGTCTGACTGTCCAGCCTAAATCTGACATCCTTCCTGTCATCGAGATCGTGACCCCTGTTGAATACAAGATCATCCAAACTTTTGAACCTCATCAAGTTGCTCTGTAGTTCCAAGTAGGTGCCATCAACGATTGTAGACATGTTCTTCGGGAAAGGCATCTCTGACGATTTCATTAAAATATTACTGCCCCTGCCAGACGGGTGGGCGCCCTTTGCCGGCAGGCCTATCTGTTTCCATTCCCGAAAGCTATCTCTGTCGCCGCTCCCGTGGCCTTGCATGGCCGTTGGAGCTCTTATCACAGGGGTTGAAACGGGTCTCTTTGGATGCTTGAAAAGGGGATAGTGTTCGGTCTCCGCCGAACTGATCGACTCAGCAGAGTCAGATTCATACTTCTCCAAATATCTCCCTTTATCTCCATTCCCTACTCTACGAGAATCCCCTTTTTTCTCCTCCGCTAACGCCAGGCAGGGATTTTTCGCATGCGTACTTTTGACATTGCATGGGGTGTGGCCGTAAGCATCCCTCTCTGAGCACTGGTCAGTGGTCTCTTCAAAGTCCAGGGTGTGAAAACTGACATTGCTGTCGGCTGATGATGCAGAGTCATACTCTCTGCTCCAGTGTGCACCCGAATAATCCTGGTCTCTCTTAGTCCCTGGTGTGTTTTGCCCACCCACTTTAGAAACTTTGTTAGATCTGATCCACTTCTCTGCTTCCACCCCCGGCCTGACAAACCCATCACTGTCAACTTTGTTACTGTCATTCACGTTGCCAGGAGCAGTGCGTCTTGACCTGTTTTCTGCAGAGCCTTGCGGCGCTTTGTTTCCATCCGATCTTTTAGCCGCCTGCCTATCTTGCTTCCTGTGAACATCTTGCAAGCTTGTGTACGATGATGACTGGTTGTTTGTGACCTCCTCCCTTGAAGACTTCCACGGCATTTCTCCAGTTTGAGCCCAGTTGGCCAGCTTGACTCTTGCTTCCATCATCTTCATCGCTTCACGGGGAGACTGTTCCGCAATGTCGCTTTCTGTTGAATCATTAGGCGCCTTTGGCCTGGAGGCCTGGGCTGACAGGCTCGGGGGGTCGGGCAAAAGGACATGCTGTCTGGCCGCGGGAGGTTGGGTGCGTGACTTTGTTCTTGTCAGACTGGCTGGCGATGAGTTGTTAGAGTTGGTGGGTGTGTGGTAGAACGTGTCATCAAACTGTACCTTGTCCAGGTTAGGGAGAGCCTGCGGTGTCAGCCTGACCGGCTGCAGGTCATCACCTGACCCTTGAGATGGGTCTTTGAAACTCTGCTGCCCGGGGTCACGCTGACCAGACCTCTGTGCTCTATCATTGTGTGGACTAGCCCCGCTGCTGGTTGGGTTTCTGATAACTGGTGACTGCCTTGTTGGCTCATGGGCAACATGGTGGCTCTGCTTTTCCAATGCGGGTGCAGCAATTTCTCTGTCGCCACTGGTGGGGCGTGACTGGGGTGTGAACAGGACAGAGTGGGTTGTGATCAGCTCCTGGGCCAAAACGTCCAGCGACTCTTCCAATAAAGTAATGCAAGAAATCTTGACTTGTCTGAAAAAATGGTTTGAAAATGGTTTATAACAAAAATGTATTTTAAAAATTGTTTTGGTTTATATACATTTGTGAGGCCTTAAGACGTCATAAAGAAGTGACAAATGGGGATGTTTATTTACAGTAAAACTACAACTCTTTATTTGAGGTTTGGTAAATGATTCATTAAAATTGTTATGCATTAATTGTATTCAGGATAAAGGGAAATGGTTGAGGAGATCGCACTAAGGATATAAAAAAAAAAGGAGAAGGAGACTCGGATGGTTTTTTTTTTTTTTTTTTTTACACATTTCTTTTAATGATATGGCTTAAGATGTGGCATTAAGAAACTGCATGAATTATGCAGATCGTCAAAACATTTACACTTCTATTTCCTTCATCAAATGAGTGAAAGCAAGGGGGATTTTTTTTAAAAAAAATGATGGGTGCTCCGATTCACCTGTTAACAGATGCAGACCTGCCAACCTGCCAAGAAGAAAATCTGTCGGGGTGCGCGGCGGGTGTTGGGGGGTGCCCGGGGCTGGGGGGAGGCGTTGGTTTAAGGTCTACATACTTTTGCGCAAGCTTTTTTTTTTTTAGTAAATAAAGAAATGTAAAGTTGCCTCCCATTTTCTTGGAAGAGTCCACAGAACATGAGAGAAACATTACTGGAAATGTTTGTATAGAGAACAGAAGATCCATTTCATTGACATCATGTACACAGGGTGCTAAGAGCTAAGAGCATATCCCTAGTGGCCTTTATGCACTTGTCCAACAGCTCTTTGGACCACTGAAGGTTAGCATTGCGGTTGATTTTAGTTACAGAGCAAGTTAGAAAGAGTTTCATCTTTCAATCACTTTCATGCTTGCCATTGTTTGATGGTAATATTTCTTCACAATCTTCCCGCAATCTGCGCCTGGAAACATTTCTTTGACGCTGGCATTAAAACGATCGGAGTTGGCTGGAGAAATATTTCCTTCAATAAGAAAGGTGGTCAATAAAACTTCCCATCTGATAACTGAATCATCGGATTCCTTAGCAAAGACATTAGACATGGATGTCGTAGATTCACTGCTTTTAGCTGCAGTTGTATTTTTTGTTTGTATAAAAATATATTTTTTAATATCATTGTAACCATCACTTTCAATAGATTTATCCATTTAATTAAGAAAAGCGTTAACAAAAAAAATCGCAACACAACTGAATTATTTTTTAGCCTAGTAATCGAAATGAACCAGTTCCTGTCATACCCGATTTTTTAAAAAAATGTTTCGCTTTAGGATTTTTTATGACCGGTGAAAAATAATAATGTTTAGGAAAATCTGAATTTTAAGGGGTTGATCGGAGTGAGGGGTAAAAAAAATTCAGACAAAATCAGAATAGTTGGCGGGTCTGCAGAGGCCATCAAATCATTTCGTAACACACCCCAATGATTGATCTCGTAGCATGCTGCATCAAATCATTTTGTAACACACCCCAATGATTGATCTCGTAGCATGCTGCATCAAATCATTTCATAACATACCCCAATGATGGATCTCGTAGCATGCTGCATCAAATCATTTTGTAACACACCCCAATGATTGATCTCGTAGCATGCTGCATCAAATCATTTTGTAACACACCCCAACGATTGATCTCGTAGCATGCTGCATCAAATCATTTCATAACACACCACAACAATTGATCTTGTAGCATGCTGCATCAAATCATTTCGTAACACACCCCATCGATTGATCTTGTAGCATGCTGCATCAAATCATTTCATAACACACCCCAACGATTGATCTTGTAGCATGCTGCATCGAATCATCTCATTTTCAATTAAGTAAAGAAGAGCTATTTTAATAGTTATTTTCTCCTGCAACAGTAGAATAGAGCTCCACTTTACATATAATAATGTTATACGATGGCAAATTTGTAGTATCTTCAAAATAGATTTCTAGTTTAAAGGGGTCTCAGAGCTTTGTGATGGTGTGGGCAAACACAAAGCGCGTGGGGGGGGGGGGGGGTTGGGGGTAAAAAATGGGGCCAGATTGCTTGAATTAATTTATGGATGGCCCCTTATTTATGAAAAAATGGTGGAAATTGAATTCATTTATGGATGACCCTTTATTTGTGAAAAAAATGAATTCATTTACGATGGTCCCTTATTTGTGGAAAAACGTACATTCCCTGTGTACCACAAGCATGCACTCACCCTGAGAGAACATTCCTCAGTGTTGACTTAAACTTGGCTCTCAAGACCTCCACAACGTAAACCCTCTGTTTCAGCGCCTCTGCTTTCAGTTCTGCCGCTGCATGCAGATTGGCTTCACTGACCGATGACATCATTTTTTCTGAGTGGATGGCAAAGGAAATGAAAATGTTTTGACTGCACTCATTTGTGGTAAAGGTTTCATTTAAGTTGACAAGAGTGAGTCTTTTTGACGTGTTTGTTTGCTTGTCATGGTTGGACTTGTGAGTTTTTTCAACTTGTTAGTTTGTTCCCCATCTTAGGACTTGTGCGTCTTTTTTTTACTTTGTTGATCTTTTTACTGAGCAAGGGAGATGGCTGGTTTACTATCAAGGGAGATGACTGGTTTAATATCAATGGCTGGTTTACTGATCAAGGGAGATGGCTGGTTTAATATCAAGGGAGATGGCTGGTTTACTATCAAGGGAGATGACTGGTTTAATATCAATGGCTGGTTTACTGATCAAGGGAGATGGCTGGTTTAATATCAAGGGAGATGGATGGTTTACTATCAAGGGAGATGGATGGTTTACTATCAAGGGAGATGGCTGGTTTAATATCAAGGGAGATGGATCGTTTACTATAAAGGGAGATGGCTGGATTAATATCAAGGGAGATGACTGGTTTACTATCATGGGAGACCGCCGTTTTAAAATCAAGGGAGATGATTGGTTCTGATCAAGGGAGATGTCTGGTTTACTAATTAAGAGTTGAAACACATGCAATCAAGGAGAATCCCTTTCACCTACCATCATTGTTGTCTGGTCTGTGCCTCCCAGAGAACCAATGCTCTTTCTCTGCCCTCAACTGGTCCTGTAGTGTGTCTAATGCCGCCTGGTACTGGTCCTTCACATCTTGCAGCTGGTTCTTCAAAGCATACACAGCTTGATCTTTTTCAGTATCCAGCTTCTCCCTCAGCTCAGACAGATCCTGGTGAATGCAACAACCAGCATGACTACCATAACAACCAGTATGATCATCACAACAGCCAACATGACCATCACAAAAACCGACATGACCACCACAATAACCAGCATGACCCCCACAACAACCAGTATTGTCACGGCCAGATCGCGTGAGTTTTTCTGTGTCAACTTCTATAATGTTAATTTGACCAATCGTGGGTGAGTTTCTTTTCCCCGTGTGCCCCACGAGTTTTTATTTTTCTCGGTCAAGTATGACCGGTGTGCTGTGTCGGGAGGAACCACGTGAGGATAAGAGTGTGTGAGTTGAGTTTCTTAAGGAGTGAACAGTGGCGAGTGCTGTGGATTATGGTGTATGATTTTTGTCTTGTGAAGGCAGTGAGTTTTTCTACGGATGGAAGAGGACTTGTGTAACTTTAACTGTTTTGTATAGTATGTGGAGTTTTTTTATTCTGAACACAGGAGCTTATTGCTAATAAAGTTTTCCATTGTTAGGCACACATAGCAAATAAATAAGAAAACCTGAATCTCTGAATTGTTTGTTGATACTTGGAGCAAGAGTCAGCTCTGTAGGAGCTAGAAATAAAGGGGTTCTAGACCCTTGAAAAATTGTTCTGTGGCTAGTACGCAGGGGACTGACCTCTAGACAACGTACGTCACGTCACAAGTATGACCACCACAACAACCAGTATGACCACCACAACAACCAGTATGACCACCACAACAACCAGTATGACTACCACAACAAACAGTATGACTACCAAAACCACCAGTATGACCACCACAACCACCAGTATGACTACCACAACCACCAGTATAATACCACAACAACCAGTATGACTACCACAACAACCAGTATGACTACCACAACAACCAGTATGACTACCACAACAACCAGTATGACTACCACAACAACCAGTATGACTACCACAACAACCAGTATGACTAAAACAACAACCAACATGACTACCACAACAACCAGTATGACTACCACAACAACCAGTATGACTACCACAACACCAACATCACCATGTGCCTTGTTGATTTAACTATAAAATATATAGTGGCGTTCTTATAGCTATTAGCTGTGGTGGTGGTGGTGGTGAGGGGGGGGATGGTGTCAGGTACTTTGGTAACTCAAACATGAACCAAAGGGCATTTCGGTAGCAACTTGCCATCTTCCTCCGAGCCTTCGCCTCACTCATGTCAGACTTGTACTTGCGGTCCAGCACGCTGAACTTCTCCTCGAGCAGGGCGTGCTCTTTCCTCACGGCGTCCAGGTCCTCGGTGCACTTATTGAGACCGTTGCAAAGCCTTTGTTTCTCTTCTCGGTGCTTGGCCTCCAGGGCCTTGATGAACTCGACGGCTTTATCTCGTTCTTGGCACGCCTGTATCCAGGGGAGAGGGCAAATACACATTAACTCTGTTTATTTTTGTTTGAGAGAAATTCTGACAAATTGAAAAGTAACAATAACAAGCCATGTTTTAAAAAAAATAATTTTTCAGCCAAAGTTAAATGAACTGAAGTAAAGTCATATAGCATGGGCAAGTAGTTAAAGTCTTATAGCATGGATAAGTGGTTAGAGTCATATAGCATGGATAAGGAGTTAAAGTTCTATAGTATGGACAAGTAAAGTCATGTAGCATGTACAAGTAGTTAAAGTCTTATAGCATGGATAAGTGGTTAGAGTCATATAGCATGGATTAAGGAGTTAAAGTTCTATAGTATGGACAAGTAAAGTCATGTCTTCTTCTTCTTCTTCTATATCTTAAGGGCCCACGATCAATTTATTGATCATTTTGGCTCCTATGCATGTAGATGGGATTTGCAATGTTTCTGTTCCTGGTGTTTATGAGGAAATTTCACAGATTTCCAGTGCCACTTTGTGAGGGAATCATGCACTGGGGGTTTGAAGGCTTGAGGCAATAGACACAAATGTGTCTAGTGTTGTCGCCTCAACCGTTCCTTTTGAAAGATTGTTCCAGTCCCTGATTGTCTTGGGCAGGAATGAGCAGCTCCTATACTGGCTTCTTGCTGGTATGAGCCTGAATTGCCTGTCATGGCCTCGTCGCTGTCTATGGGGGAGAGGTACGAGTTTCTGTTTAATACTGGAACAGTGGACCAGCCCATTATTTATCTTGTACATCATGGAGAGCCTGGATTGTCGTCGTCGTTTCTCCAATGGTGACCAGCCTAGTGTTTCTAGCATGCTGCCAACACTTGAGGTATTCCTGTAGCGGTTTAGGACAAAGCGTGCTGCTCGTCGCTGGACCGCCTCCAACCTGTCAATGCTCTTCTGGGTAAATGGGTCCCAGACTGAAGATGCATAATCTAAAATCGGACGGATAAAGGCTTTATATGCTCTTTCTTTCACACAGGAGTTGCCAATCTTTAGATTTCGCCTTAAGAACCCTAGGGTCTTGTTTGCTTGGTTACATACATTGTTAATATGTTCATCCCATCGGACCTCTCTTTGAATGGTAACACCCAGGTACTTTACGGAGGAAACTTGCTCAAGAATATGGCCGTGCAGTTTGTATTGGTAGTGTAGAGGAGTACAACTTCTAGAGATTGATAGTGTCTGGCACTTGGCAGGGTGAAATTCCATGTCCCAGCTCATCTCCCACTCAGCTAACAGATTGAGATCCTGTTGTAGCTGGTCCTGGTCAGATCTGTTGGCGATCGTCCTATACACTGCTGTGTCATCTGCAAACAGTCTTGCCTGTGATGTCAGTTTCTCCGGTAGGTCATTAATGTATGCTAGGAACAAACAGGGGCCCAGGACTGATCCCTGGGGGACCCCTGACTTCACATTGACAAAGGAGGAGTTTGTACCGCCCACCACTACTGCTTGGCGTCGGTGGCTGAGGAAGCTAGAGATCCATGTTTTAGTGGTGCCTTGAATCCCATATATCTGGAGTTTGTGTAGAAGCAAACTATGATTCACCCGGTCAAATGCTTTTGCGAAGTCCATTACTAGCACGTCATGTAGCATGTACAAGTAGTTAAAGTCTTATAGCATGGATAAGTGGTTAGAGTCATATAGCATGGATAAGGAGTTAAAGTTCTATAGTATGGACAAGTAAAGTCATGTAGCATGTACAAGTAGTTAAAGTCTTATAGCATGGATAAGTGGTTAGAGTCATATAGCATGGATTAAGGAGTTAAAGTTCTATAGTATGGACAAGTAAAGTCATGTAGCATGTACAAGTAGTTAAAGTGTTATAGCATGGATAAGTGGTTAGAGTCATATAGCATGGATAAGGAGTTAAAGTTCTATAGTATGGACAAGTAAAGTCATGTAGCATGTACAAGTAGTTAAAGTCTTATAGCATGGATAAGTGGTTAGAGTCATATAGCATGGATTAACCTCAATTTCAAGATATCAATGGACAAGTAAAGTCATGTAGCATGTACAAGTAGTTAAAGTCTTATAGCATGGATAAGTGGTTAGAGTCATATAGCATGGATTAAGGAGTTAAAGTTCTATAGTATGGACAAGTAAAGTCATGTAGCATGTACAAGTAGTTAAAGTCTTATAGCATGGATAAGTGGTTAGAGTCATATAGCATGGATTAAGGAGTTAAAGTTCTATAGTATGAACAAGTAAAGTCATGTAGCATGTACAAGTAGTTAAAGTCTTATAGCATGGATAAGTGGTTAGAGTCATATAGCATGGATAAGGAGTTAAAGTTATATAGTATGAACAAGTAAAGTCATGTAGCATGTACAAGTAGTTAAAGTCTTATAGCATGGATAAGTGGTTAGAGTCATATAGCATGGATAAGGAGTTAAAGTTATATAGTATGAACAAGTAAAGTCATGTAGCATGTACAAGTAGTTAAAGTCTTATAGCATGGATAAGTGGTTAGAGTCATATAGCATGGATTAAGGAGTTAAAGTTCTATAGTATGGACAAGTAAAGTCATGTAGCATGTACAAGTAGTTAAAGTCTTATAGCATGGATAAGTGGTTAGAGTCATATAGCATGGATTAAGGAGTTAAAGTTATATAGTATGAACAAGTAAAGTCATGTAGCATGTACAAGTAGTTAAAGTCTTATAGCATGGATAAGTGGTTAGAGTCATATAGCATGGATTAAGGAGTTAAAGTTCTATAGTATGGACAAGTAAAGTCATGTAGCATGTACAAGTAGTTAAAGTCTTATAGCATGGATAAGTGGTTAGAGTCATATAGCATGGATTAAGGAGTTAAAGTTATATAGCATGGACAAGTAAAGTCATGTAGCATGGAAAAGTAGTTTAAGTTCTATAGTATGAAAAAGCAGTTAAAGTCATATAGCATGGACAAGTAGTTAAAGTTCTATAGTATGGAAAAGCAGTTAAACTCATATAGTATGGAAAAGCAGTTAAAGTCATATAGTATGGAAAAGCAGTTAAAGTCATATAGTATGGAAAAGCAGTTAAAGTCATATAGTATGGAAAAGCAGTTAAAGTCATATAGTATGGAAAAGCAGTTAAAGTCCTATAGTGTGGAAAAGCAGTTAAAGTCATATAGCATGGACAAGTAGATAAAGTCATATAGTGTGGAAAAGTAGTTAAAGTCCTATAGAATGGACAAGTAGTTAAAGTCATATAGCATGGAGAATAAGTCACATTGTCTACCTTAGTTTTGGCATCCACTTCTGATTTGAGACGTTCTTGCCATCCAGCCCCATTGTTCTCACGCCTCCTCTCTTCTCTTTCTCTTTCCTCCTCCCACTCATTCCGTTCATGTTTGATCCTCTCCCTCATGTCTAACTCCAGCTCATCTCTCATAGCCTCGATCTCCCTCAACATGTTCCTCTTCACCTCCTCCGTGGCCTTCTTCTCCTCTGATATCTTCGCCTCCAGCTCTGCCGCCGTCCTGCCCTCGAAGACCGCCCTCTCCTCCTCCATCTTTCTCTTGGCTTTCTCCTTCCACACAGTCACCTCCTCCTCCAGCCTGGCCTTCTCCTTTATCACCCTGGCGTCCAGCTCAGTCACAAACTTCTTCTTCAGGTTGGTCATCTCGAATTCAAGCTTCTCCTTCACTCTCTTGTCCACCTCTAGGTCAGAGCTTCTCTCCTCCGCTTCCTTTCCCTCCTCTCGGCTTGCCTTCTCCCTCTCTTCAGCTAACCTGTCCTCGATGCCTTGCTTGATCTCCCCGGTGATGTACTCTCTGGCCTCCTCCAGCCATTTCACCCTCTGTTCCTGCATCCTCTTACAAACCTCCTTTTCAATCTCATCCAGCTTAAAGCTCTCCTTCATTTTTGAGACCTCAATGCTCACTCGTTCAGCGACCACTTTCTCGATGTCCTTCTCTTTGTCTAAGGTGTTGAGCAAATTTCTTTTCGCAGCTGTCGAGAATTTGATTTCTTCTTTCTCTTTCGTCAATTTCTCGATCTCCTTCAGCTGCTCCAACTGAAGTTTGTGAACGATTTCCTCAAATTCTCGTTTTCTTGATTTTTCCTCTTGTTCATGGCGCAGGGATAAGGCAAGAATTTCATCTTCTTTCTCCTCTACTACTCTCTTCATATCATCTTTTAGCTCCTTTCTCTCATCCTCCAGCTTCATTAATTTGTCTTCCAGTTCTGTTTTTTCTCTTCCAAATCTCTTCAAACAATCTTCTTTCTCCTCTACTACTCTCTTCATATCATCGTTTAGCTCCTTTCTCTCATTCTCTAACTTCAATAACTTGTCTTCCAGCGCTGTTTTTTCTCTTCCTAATCTCTTTAAGCAATCTTCCAGCTCAATTCTCTTACTTTCTAACTTACTCTCCAAATCCCTCCTCTCCCTCTCGAGCTCTGATCTCAGCATGACCAGCTCCCTCTCCTTCCTGTCTTTTAACTCTTTTTCAAGTTCAACTTTTTTCTTCAGCTCCTCCAAGCTTTCATCCTCCCTGCCTCCCTTACCCTCCAAACTCATCTCCTCCCTAACCCTCTTCTCACAGTTCTCTACGGCCCGTCTCAGGTCTGTCTTGCTCTTTTCCTCCCAGCTGGCAATCATCTGCAACATGTGGACTTTGTGCTGAGCATCAGCTTTCTGCAGCTCTGCTCTGGCCTTCAGCTCGCACTGAGCCACGGCTTCCTCCAGCCTGGCTCTTCCCTGATATTCTCTCTCCTTCAGAAAATACCTCAGCTCGCTCTGGAACTTCTCCTCCCTGGCCCTGGCCGTTTTCTCAAACTCGATTTTGTGCTTCTGCCGCAGGTCTTCAATTTCGATTTCATAGTTTTGCTTCGTGGATTTCAGCTGCAATTCCAGGTTTTGGACACACCCCTTCAGTTTTTTTAGCAGGTCCTTCATCTGAGAGGAGTTCAGCTTGTCAACATCCGCCACATCATCAACACTAACATTCGTCACCCCCAATTTGATGAATGACGAGCTGTTGAAATCCGACTCGGAAAGACCAGCTAACTTATGCAGTAAAACACTATCAAATGTTAAGTTCATGCCGGGGGTGTCCTCAGTTTGCGCAGCCGACGCAAGGTTGTCATCCGATCTGTTTGCTCTCAAACCCAAACTTTCAATGTTTTCTGTCTCCTTGAGCTGCTCCTTCATGCCCCTTACCTCTTCCGATATGGACTCCTGCGACCCAGTGGAAACTTGATTGAATTCAAGATTGGGTCTGGTTGGTAGAGGATGCTCGAGAGGTTGAGGACCCCTTGACCCATGATTAATTAATAAGGCATTTGTCTCTGACTTCATCTCATCAATTGAAAGCTTTTCCTTCATCTGTTCCTCGAACCTCTCCTTCTCCACTTGAGAACCCTCCACCGATTTCACATAATCTTCATGCCGTTGAGCCAATGAATCAAGCTTTGCCTGCAGCTCTGCCTCGGATTGTCTGCCTTCTTCCATATTGCTCAAAGCTTCGCTGAGCTTCTGCTTCAGCTCGTTGATTTCTTGATCCCTAAGGTTGACTACCGTCTCCAGCTCTGACATCTGCTCAGTCAAGTGATCTTTCTCTGGAAAGAATGATCCAAAATTAATCGGTCCGTTTTTTAAACCAGAGCTAATATTATTATTCTAAGTGGTCTTATAGAGCGCCGTACCCCAGCCTAGGGCTAGGCTCGACGCGCTTCACATAAAAAATGTGCAAAATGAAACAATACATTAAAAAAGTTACATAAAATTATTCATTTAAAAACAGCTGTGTAAAACTATCGACCACCCAAGTACTATTGACCCTTGTCTAGCCATGGATGGCACCCAGCAGCATCGAGCTTTGTTTATACGTCAAACAAGGAGTGAGAATGAGTCAGAGTAGTAGAATTTGAAGAGATGTGTCTTGAGTGCAGTTTTAAAAGCTTGGATGGTCGGTATATTGTGGATGTGTAATGGGAGAGAATTCCATTGTTTGGGGTGGCAGAAAGAGAAATATTGTTCACCGTATGTTTTAGTGTGTGTCTTGGGAACAGAAAGAATACACATGTCTTGGGAGGAATGAAGCTGTCAAAGTGGTAAATAGACAAAAATGTACAATGTGAACATTCTTGATTGGGCCTTGACCGTATAATTATTGTAAATTGCAGAAAATTTAATCTTCCCAAAGTTTTAAATTTTACAAAGCAGCAGTCCTCAACCTGTAGGTTGTGACCCCCCCCCTCCTTTGGGGGCTATAATGGGAGGGGGGGGGGGTTGAGAGAGACCACAATGTGAGGAACTGTATTAATGGGTAGTGGCATTAGGAAGGTTGAGAGCCATCGATCTAAAAGTTACTCCTTTAATTAATATCAGTCAAGCAATATGCAGTCCCGATTACTTGTTTTATCAAGAGGGCCCAAGGAGGGAGGGGGGACGATGCGGGATGTGTTTCCTTTTAAATCTTCTTCCCACTGTATTCTATAACATCAGTTGGCTTCCAAACCTTTCTGTGAGCTTGCAATCCACTCTTCCTTAGCATGGGCAACAGTTTGATCTATCAAAGTTTGCATCTTGCTCCTAAACTCTTCTTGACATTCCGCTCTCACCTTCAACACCTTCAACAAAGATGCATAACATTTATCAAATACCTGATGACATTTTTCTGATTTTTTTTTCTTCTCCTTTCTTTTTGTTTTTTAAAAATGAGATTCTACAACAGGCCAATGTTTTATAATGTCATTGTTTATCACACACAAAAAAAATATTTTTAATTCTCAAGTCTATGAGAGGGAGATAATCTCAACTTGTTCTCTCAGAGTTGTCTCCCTGGCTTTATTAGGTGGTTGAACATGCTACTCATTTGGTGAGACTTCATTCTCCTTTTCAACATTCTACTGCAACAATCCCACCATCATCCCCCCCCCCCCTCATTTTAACAGCTCTTCATTCGGTAGCACCTAAGGCTTAATTAACTCGTCTCATATATTTACTGTATAAAAACTAGGCAGAACAAGTTGCTTAAGTTCTCAAGTTTATATAATATCCATAACACAGCAATTGCATATTAATTACAATAATAACATTTAAAATACTGCAGCTAAAACAAGAAGGTTTGGGGGGGGGGTTTTCAGGTCAATACCTCATCAAATTTTTGCTTATCTTCCAATAACATTTTTTAGATTATTAAACAACTAAACTTAAATTAATGGACTACTTTATTATTAAATTACTTACCTTCAATTAATAGACTACTTTATTATTAAATTACTTACCTCCAATTAATAGACTAGTTTTTTTTATAAAAATAATTAACTTTAATTAATAGACTAGTTTATTATTAAATTACTTACCTTCAATTAATAGACTAGTTTTTTTATAAAAATAATTAACTTTAATTAATAGGCTAGTTTATTATTAAATTACTTAACTTCAATTAATAGACTAGTTTTTTTATAAAAATAATTAACTTTAATTAATAGACTAGTTTATTATTAAATTACTTACCTTCAATTAATAGACTAGATTTTTTATAAAAATAATTAACTTCAATTAATAGACTACTTTATTATTAAATCACTAACTTAAGTTAATAGACTGGTTTATTATTAAATCACTTAACTTTTGTAAATAGACTACTTTATTATTAAATTACTTAAGTTTAATTAGTGGACTACTTTATTATTAAATTACTTAACTTAAATTAATAGGCTACTTTATTATTGGAAACTGACCTTGAGATCAATGTCTTTCTCAAAAGCAGTCCTCAACTCAGCTTCCATGGCCTCCTTCAAAACACTTTGCTCCTTCTCAGCTCTCTTCTTTAGCTCCTCCTGCAATCTGTCCTCTAGACTTTTGTCATCCGACTCATATTGTGACTTCAACTAAAGGAGAGAATACCAAACTAAGGGAGAGAATACCAAACTATGGGAGAGCTTACCCAACTATGGGAGAGAATATGCAACTAAGGGAGAGAATACCAAACACCTTTACACAATCTACACTCACTGGTTACATTACACAAACTTCACTCACTGGTTACATTACACAATCTACACTCACTGGTTGCATGGCATAATCTACACTCACTGGTTACAGTGCACAATCTACACTCACTGATTATATTACAAAATATACACTCACTGATTACATTACACATCTACACTCACTGGTTACATTACAATATCTACCCTCACTGGTTACATTGCACAATCTACCCTCATTGGTTACATGACACAATCTACACTCATTGGTTACATTACACAATCTACACTCACTGGTTAAATTACACAATCTACCCTTATTGGTTACATTACCTTCTGTAGCTCCTCCTCCAACTGTTTCTTGTACCTATCAGCAAGCTCCAACTCTAAAGAACCAGATTCCTCACACAGCTTACTGTAGAGGGATTTAACACTGTCCAGTTCAGATAGAGTTGAATCCAGCTCATGTCTAGAATGTACAAGAAAAAAAAAAGCTAAAAGAACCTCAGGAATTTTTTTTTTTTTTTAAATTCTATAAAAAAACAAAAATGGGATGCATTCACAGCCAACTAATCAAAAATTCATTAAACTAAAGAAATTTTACAAAAATGACCACTAGTGCCATGGTGGGCAAACTGAGGCCCTTGGGCCATATTTTGCCCACTTAGACATTTAATGCAACTCACAAGACCTTCTGAGAACTGGATCAATGTTTTTGTAACATGTGCATCAAATGTTGTCTTGGTTTTAGGTACATTTGGCCTGCTGATTCCAAAGACCAAGTTTCCTTCAAACATTTCTTGTTTTAGAGAGCCTGGACGTGTACCAGTTATTGAGCATAAAGCACATTATTATTTATACAATGGCCAACACACAAGGGCCTCCAATTTTTTACTTGTTCCTATGTATTTATCACCCACTTTTGTCCCTGTTCCTATGTATAATTGACCCACTTTTTTACTTTTTCCTACATATATTTGACCCACATTTTTCCTTCTTCTTCTATATATTAAGAGCCCACTATCAATTTATTGACTATTTTGGCTCCAATGCATGTAGAGGGGATTGGCAATGTTTCTGTGCCTGGTGTTGATGAGGATATTTGATTGCAATGGCTACTTGGTGAGGGAATAATGCACTGGGGGTTGAAAGGCTTGAGGCAATAGACGCAAATGTGTCAAATGTTGTCGCCTCAACTGTTCCTTTTGAAAGCTTGTTCCAGACCCTGTTTGTTCCTATGTATATTTGATCCACTGATTCCAAAATGACCCCAGTATTCCCCTATCTGCACTTGTTTATGATATATTGGGACACATTTTAAAGCATAAAGTATAGTAATAATGACTCAAAGGAAAGTCTCCTTGCATGGTAATGTGCTAGTTTTATACCAAAAGAACAGAATTGACAGAAATAGTGTGTGGTAATTCAATAAAATGAAGCTCCTTTTGTAAGACTTCTTCAAGGTAGGATCTTCCAGGACAATCCAGTATAAGATTCCAACAAAAATCTTCACCTCATGTGCATTTCATCCATCATGGGATCTGGCCGATGCTGCATGTGTATGTAGTTTTGAAATCTTTCAATTTAATCTTTATCTTATTTTCACTGGACAGCGATCTAAGCGAGGGCAAGAAAGTTTTCGCAACCAGAATAAATGAAGACCAGGGCTATGATTCAATATCAGTCACTGATGATTTGATTTGATGATGGGTCAATTATGCGTTTTCTGATCTGTGGACCATAAACAATCCGTCTTTCCGTTTCTCTGATCTGAGTCCAAAATGGCATGGGATATGAATGATTTATTCAAAGCCCTTAACAATTGTTTCTCCGCCAGGCCAAGATTTATGTATATTTGGGGTAGAATGATTCCATCCTATGACACTTAGCATACATTGTTCACATTTCTTTCCACTGACCACCATAGTCACTCGGAAGTCTATCTTTTCTTGCCAAAATTTCATGTTTGTTTCTGCTATCCTAAAAGGCATGAGAAACTAGGATATTTTGTGTAGTCACTTTGTGAGCCAATGAGAAGCTAGGATGTTTTGTGTAGTCACTTTGTGAGCCAATGAGAAGCTAGGATATTTTGTGTAGTCACTTTGTGAGCCAATGAGAAGCTAGGATATTTTGTGTAGCCAATTTTTAAACCCGGAAAAAATTATTTTCAAATCTATAAGAACCACCCAATGTTTTTTTTTTTATAGTAAATTAATTTATCTTTTCAAAGACTAAAGAGTTTGTCTTGTGTTCTTCTTTCATCCTGGTGGATTGACCTATGACCTATGGGACAATAACCTTGGTTGTAATCTATTAACAGAAGACATTTCAAACTTTATTTTGAAATGTCTGTAAAAAGATATCACATACTTAGATTATATTCTGAAAGACCAATGCTCTTCAGAAGGTTTCCGATGTCACCGCACAATACTAAATTCTTGACTTCAGTAAAAATTTGGCAGAAAATTATTTTGCTCCATGCGGAAGAGAATTTTTTCCTTAATTCTGGAGACAAGCATTCATTAACTGGGGCAAATGTTCAGTACAAAGGTTTTTATACATTATGCAGAGCCCAAGTCTAATTTTTAACTCCGAGGCTAATTTCTAGCTCCAAGGCTTATCTTGATCTCAAAGGCTTATCTTGATCTCCAAGGCTTATCTTGATCTCCAAGGCTTATCTTGATCTATAAGCTTAGTGCCAAATAACCTATACATGTATATATGNTGCGTACATTTTCAGCAACGTTAGTAGGACTATTATTATTAGTGAATGTATATTTTATAAAGTTTCTTATAATATATATATATATATATATATATATATATATATATATATATATATATATATATATATATATGGCATCCTTACGTCTTCGCGAGGTGATGGAGTAGCTATGTAGTCCTACACTTTGACGAGTGGCTCACTAGGCCAATCCTAGAATGACAATCTCGACTGCATTTCTCGCAGGAGAAAATTGATTCCTGGTAAGATTTTGACTTCCATATTGTTCTTTTTGTTGCAAGGGCCTCATTCCTCATATCTTCTGCCTTTTTTTTTTTTACTCCTTCATATACTGCTTTTCGCCACCTGGTAGGTTTTTTGGCAATGAGCTCCCATATATATATATTATATATTCCTTTTTTTGCAAACTCAGTCCCATTATCTTACACATTTAAAATCAAATCTATGTGTGGCTGTTTATAGCAGTTCTGGATGGGAAGCTTTGGAAATTAAAATTTGTGCGTTCAGAGAAATTACTGAAGAAGAAAAAAAAAAGATTTTCTCCTTTGAAATTAACAATAATGCTGTAAGTATATGCCGGAGCTTATTATAAAAAGAAAACTGATAAATACACAATAAATTGGTGATCAAAGTACAAACATTTCCCATTAAAATAACAAAAGTTTTTAGGGTGAACCCATTCCGCAAAAGATACCATAAGGTGAACTAAATTTTTATAAATTCATCAAAATCTTACAAAACCAGAGCTGTCACGATAGAACCTATGAGATTTTTTGGAATCAGCACCTCAAATAACCCCATGGACTGCTCTGAGTTTTAAGACACTAAGAGAAATGTGGGGGTTTTTTTTGGAATCAGCACCTCAAATAACCCCATGGACTGCTCTGAGTTTAAAGACACTAAGAGAAATGTGGGTTTTTTTTGGAATCAGCACCTCAAATAACCCCATGGACTGCTCTGAGTTTTAAGACACTAAGAGAAATGTGGGGGTTTTTTTTGGAATCTCGTGGAGTTTATTGGGGTACCTGACGAGACTCAATTAAGACACTAAGAGAAATGTGGGTTTTTTTTTTTTGGAATCAGCACCTCAAATAACCCCATGGACTGCTCTGAGTTTTAAGACACTAAGAGAAATGTGGGGTTTTTTTTGGAATCAGCACCTGATATAACCCCATGGACTGCTCTGAGTTTTAAGACACTAAAAGAAATGTGGGGTTTTTTTTGGAATCAGCACCTGATATAACCCCATGGACTGCTCTGAGTTTTAAGACACTAAGAGAAATGTGGGTTTTTTTTTGGTCTGGCTTGCGTTATCTGTAAAAGCCTTTGACATTCAGTGTACTGATTAACAGGGTAAAATTGTCCAAAATTGTCAAACTAATAATAATAATAACCACAATTATTCCATAGCATATTTGCTGTGAACTGAAAATGGAAGGCATTTTTGAAGCCCATGTTTCATTATTTATATGATGTATTTAAAAAATTATCATGCAGCAATGAAAAGAAAGAAAGAATTTCTTTGCTCAAAACGGCTTCCCAACCCTAATGTAGTATGTCAAAACTTAATTTTAAAATTTGTGAAGTGTTAAATAAGTCGCTTGTTGGTAATGGAATACAGTAAACTTTTCAATATTGTGTCAGAATTTTAATTTACATCGAAAAATGAAGATAAATGTAAAAACTAAAGACCAAAATTTTAAAAAATGTCTTCTGTTCAATTATTCTATCTTGTACTCACTTTAATGTCTTCAGCTCACTGGTGTGACGGTCAGCGAGCATGGACTTCTCCGACCGATGCCTCTCCTCCATCTCGGCCCGCAAATTCTCCACGGTCATCCTGTGAACTTCCTCCAGCGTCCTTTGGCAGCGGTCCAAGGCGGTGTGTTTGTCCGCGTCAAAGTCATTGACCATCTGGGCCATCTGCTGGCTCAGCTCCGTGTTGATCTCCGTGAGCCGGGACTCGCTTGAGCCTACCTCCTCTAGTCGTTTTTTGTAATCCTTCAGTGGGACAGAATAGAATGTCCCATACGTATATCCAATCAATTTGAGGGTATTTAAATAAATTATAGCTACTATCTTTACACTTACTTCTTTTTTTACTTTTGTTGAATATGATCAGTGTTTAGATATTTTAGTGTTTTTTTCCCCCCAGTCTTAATCTGACAATAAAGACATCTCAGGAAAATTAATAAAACTTTTTAATTAGTTGTTCTTTTTCTACAGGTAATGAAAGTAACTGAACAGTCTAAGACTGGCAATGAAAGTAACTGAACAGTCTAAGACTGGCAATGAAAGTAACTGAACAGTCGAAGACTGGCAATGAAAGTAACTGAACAGTCTAAGACAGGTAATGAAAGTAACTGAACAGTCTAAGACAGGTAATGATAGTAACTGAACAGTCTAAGACAGGTAATGATAGTAATTGAACAGTCTAAGACAGGTAATGATAGTAACTGAACAGTCTAAGACAGGTAATGATACTAATTGAACAGTCTAAGAAAGAATAAGCTTGTACATTTTTATTTTCCATTTAACGTCTCCATAAATAGTCTCATCACGCCCAACACACACGACAATTGTAACTAATCCATTGAGCACTCAGAACGTTTCTTTTCTTTTTGCCATCATAATCAACAGTAATATGTCAAGCATAAGCCCTTTATGAAATTAAGCTTTTTTTTTAAAATAGTGTAGGTGCATTGAAGTAGACAGTAATAGATGTGTTACTTCTATATCCTCCAACAAAAGAGTTTTCTCCCTCTTCAAGTTCTCTAACTCCCGCTTCAGTCTTGCCTCTACTATTCCAACACCATCACTTCCACTTGTAAGGGAATCAATTTCTTGAAGACGTTTCTTAAGGAGGAGAAAATATGGGGATAAAAACCATTTTAATTCAGATTAAACTCTGCAATTTTGCAATATTATTTAGATGTTTTAAAAAAAATTATATCAGCTACATATACAGTTAGTTTGAACTAAAATTTCTTCAACATCATAAATGATCGTAGTGATCTGCACAATTAAAAATTAACAGACAGGCGATGTATAACAGACTAGAGAGCTGACTGCTTTAAAAATTAAAAAAATGCTTTGAAATATAGTTTATTTGAATTAACTCAATAGTTGATGTTTATTACTTGCATGGATAATGAGCTTGAGCAACCTTCAGCTTTCATTCCTATTTACATTTGGATCCGAAAAAATTTCAAGTTAAACAAAATTAAATAAGAAATGTAAGGAAAAAAAAGTACTTTTTGCTCTCCACACGTTCTGTCCAAATCTGTAACTTTCCTCTGGGTACTTTCCAATTCCTCCCTTAGAGACTTGACCTCCTCCGTCCGCTCAGTCAGCTCATTCCTCTTCTGTTTGTTGCTGCGAATGCATCTCTCAAGCTCTGACCTCAGGGATGCGACAAGCTCATCATGTGGCTTGCCTGTGTCTGTTCTGTTACTATTGCTGTAACATAAAGTATATTATACAACGGCTTGCCGGTGTCTGTTCTGTCACTATTGCTGTAATATAAAGTATATTATAAAACGGCTTGCCGGTGTCAGTTCTGTCACTATTGCTGTAATATAAAGTATATTATACAAAGGCATGTGGGTGTTGATACTAAAACCACTGCTACGCATGTAAGAAATAGTCTTGTAGCACCTTGTTCTGAATAGTCTTGTAGCACCTTGTTCTGAATAGTCTTGCAGCACCTTGTTCTGAACAGTCTTGTAGCACCTTGTTCTGAATAGTCTTGAAGCACCTTGTTCTGAATAGTCTTGAAGCACCTTGTTCTGATTAGTGTGTTCAGAGAATAGTCTTGTAGCACCTTGTTCTGATTAGTGTGTTCAGAGAATAGTCTTGAAGCACCTTGTTCTGATTAGTGTGTTCAGAGAATAGTCTTGTAGCACCTTGTTCTGATTAGTGTGTTCAGAGAATAGTCTTGTAGCACCTTGTTCTGATTAGTGTGTTCAGAGAATAGTCTTGTAGCACCTTGTTCTGATTAGTGTGTTCAGAGAATAGTCTTGAAGCACCTTGTTCTGATTAGTGTGTTCAGAGAATAGTCTTGAAGCACCTTGTTCTGATTAGTGTGTTCAGAGAATAGTCTTGAAGCACCTTGTTCTGATTAGTGTGTTCAGAGAATAGTGAACATCGTGGAACAAGACTAATCACACAAGTCTCTTATCAGAACATGCACCTTGTTCTGATTAGTGTGTTCAGAGAATAGTCTTGTAGCACCTTGTTCTGATTAGTGTGTTCAGAGAATAGTCTTGAAGCACCTTGTTCTGATTAGTGTGTTCAGAGAATAGTCTTGAAGCACCTTGTTCTGATTAGTGTGTTCAGAGAATAGTCTTGAAGCACCTTGTTCTGATTAGTGTGTTCAGAGAATAGTCTTGAAGCACCTTGTTCTGATTAGTGTGTTCAGAGAATAGTCTTGAAGCACCTTGTTCTGATTAGTGTGTTCAGAGAATAGTCTTGAAGCACCTTGTTCTGATTAGTGTGTTCAGAGAATAGTCTTGAAGCACCTTGTTCTGATTAGTGTGTTCAGAGAATAGTCTTGTAGCACCTTGTTCTGATTAGTGTGTTCAGAGAATAGTCTTGTAGCACCTTGTTCTGATTAGTGTGTTCAGAGAATAGTCTTGTAGCACCTTGTTCTGATTAGTGTGTTCAGAGAATAGTCCATTTTGTTTCACCCAAATCTTTTTCATCCTTATTTTTTTATTTTTTTTTATTTTTTTTTTTAAACAATTCCAGAGAACATTGCCTCACTGGACAAGAGACCAATAGGACTGGGAATATTACCTGGATGCGGATGGTGGTGTGTTGAAGTCCAAAGTTTTCCTGATGCCCAGATCGGTCATTGAGTCATCGTGTGAGGCCTGCATCCGGCCACCCATTGTGGATGTTGAGAAGACACCGAGGCTTGAGGCTGACTCAAATATATTCAGTTGCTCTTTTAGCTCCTTAATTTCTTTCTGGTTAATGTATAAAAAAAAGATATAACTTTGATTGGCTCTTATAATAAAATTTTGTTGTTTTTATGGCATGGGGGGGCGCGGGGGGGAAGAGAGAAACAGATACTTGAAATATTGATTTAAATTAATAGAAATTAATCATAAAATTCCTGATTGATTCTGTCTGTTGTACATAAGATGGACTAAAAGATTCAACTTCAGCAAGCAATTATTGCCTGGTTAGTTAGGTTGATTTCTCACCATTGACTCTCACAGACCCCCATCCCCCCCCCCCCCCCCCCCCCCTCCCCCCCCCCCCCCAATTAACATTACACACTGGGATGATCTGTCCGCTTTGTTTAGCCATTATCTAAGAGGTGAGGATTTCCACAGGTGAATTTGATTGAGCATCGCAACCTAATCGTTGCAAAACAATGTCACCGTAGCGCCAAAGGCCAACCAACCTGGAATGAACTGCAAAGGTCATCTGACAGTCGTTTTGAGGCCAAAGATTGCTGCAGCTGAACCTTGAGGGAACTCATCTCCTGACAGGTTGCTGTTTAGATGCATTGGGTCAGAGTGACAGTTTGGGAAGATAGAAAAAAATTACAGACATGATGCACCAGAAAAACAGAAATGGTGTTCGATCAAAAAGTTAATATTAATATCAAAAGAAATTTGTAATATTGTAAAGGTATAAAGTAATATCATAAAGGTATGTAAGTAATATATTGAAAAGTTGACACATCAATTATCTTCATCAATTGCCTTCATTTACATAAAGGAAATGAAAAGTCTGATAAACCCATCTCTGTTTTTTTGTGTCTTTGTTTTTTCTCTCTTAATTCTGTCTAAAATTGTGTGATTGGATGAAAATCTGAATTATTGATTCTAAGCTCATCATTACAAACTTATTTCATTTTAAACATACAATTACACAACCCCTAGAACAAAGTTTTTTTTATATAAATCCTTTATAAATGCAATGGGTGTTGGGGATGAAAATTTGACAAAACATGCATACGAGTTATGCACTTTATAAGAATCCCAATTAGTGCCACCCCCACCCACAGGCTAGCAGCTGCACATTTTTTTCATGTCCCTGAACTATATTAATATTCTAATGACCCACCCGCTTTAACACAGCAGATTTATTTTACCATTTCAGAAAAACAAAAGAAAATATTACGCAATTGGGAAATTTTTTTGGTAAAAAAATTTCTTTCAGCTTGATAAAAGAATCATTTTTATCACAGTTATAGGGAATTTTATTTCCTAAAAACAGGAAAAAGTTATTTTGGGGCTGGGAGAGGCTGGGTGGGGCTAAAAATTCATTTGAATGTTTTGTCATCTGCAACAATCTATGTGCCAAGTTTCAGCTAGATAGGTTGAAATGGTTCAATAAGCCATCCAAAGATTTCACCCGCCATGAACAAAAGCGAAGTTAATATAAAGTATTTTCTCTTAAAAAAAAGAAACTAACTGATCTTAATAGATAGGCTTACGACTTTACAACTCCAAGTAACAACAATAAACACTCGGTGTTGACACACTGTAAGCTTCTTCATCTAAACTATACTCCAAACGCCTACTAATGATATGTTTGTTTATAACTGTACCAAACATGTCATTCAAAGAGTCACATGCCCCTCCCTGGAACTTACACTGTTCTAGCAAGGCCTGACATTGCCTCTGGCTGTCCTCCAAGCTCTTGGCTAACCTGTTGATGGTCTCCCCTCTTGAAATCTGTGCACGCTCCAGCTCCTGGGTGGTGTCCGCCAGCTGCTTCTTCAGATAGACAACCTCTTCTTGCTGCACAGGAATAATATTAAAATCCAGTAATCGCCCATATCATTATAAAGCAAACATGTGGCTGAGGTCTATCAACAGACTAAAAAAAAAAAACAGGGTCTCCCACAAAAGCACTTATATCACACAAGCCCCAAAAAAAACTTTGTATCTATTACCATACCTTGCTTTCCAGTGCAGCTTTAGTTGCGTCCAGTCTCTCTTTGACCCCGAGCAGCTCTCTCTCGTACCGCTGTGTCAGGCTAGAGATTACAGCCTCGTGTTCATTTCGTGCCCGACTGAGACTCTCTGAACTCTCAAGCTCATTGATATGATGTGCCATGTTTTCAATGGTGGATTCAGAAGTCTGTAGCTTTTTTAACAGCTGGACGAGAAATCATACGAAATTTAATTATAATGTGAGCTCATCTTGGAGAAAAAAAATTATTCTGAAATAAATTCTTAAAAGATATCTGTGTCATTTTATTAATTTATTAAAAATATTTTTCATATTTAAGAATCGTTAACATTTCTATTCAAAATATCTACGGTACATACTCGCGTAAGACCAGTTGTTAGCATTGTCCATTCTACATAACAAATAACACTGCATTGTCCATGCTATCCAGATAATACATAACACTGCATTGTCCTTTCTATATAACAAATAACACTGCATTGTCCTTTCTATATAACAAATAACACTGCATTGTCTATTCTATATAACAAATAACACTACAATAACAAGGAGTTGCATCATTTAACTGCATAAGCTAGCATTTCAAATGTACAACAGTATGAGGACATGCCAAGCAACTGTCAAAGGTTTAAGAAACTGGTGCGCAAAATAAATCAGCATCACAGCCAAGGACTGTCTGCACCAATTCTACTCTATACACGGATACACCGACCTCTTCCTTAGCCTCCTTCAAGGATGACACTTGAGATTCCAGTGCCCTGATTTTCCCATTGGCTTCTACGCAGTCAGATTTGGTTTGCTGTAACAAGGTTTGGCAGTGACGCAAGCTTTCACTGGCACCCTCAGCCTCACCTTCATGAAAATATCAGGATTAGCAATTAAAACAATAGTGGCCTGTAAATTAATTATTATACTTTTTCATGAACATTGTGATACGATGAAAAGATTTTAACTCATCCAAGGGTAAAAAAAAAAAAAGTTACTCCACAATAAAAAAAAAAATATTGAAACATTTAAGATGAAATCCCAAAAGAATGTTAATGAGCAAATAAGTCAAGATGCATATAATGGTGGCTGGTGAAATTGTGACAGGTAAGACTGTGATAGGTAAGACTAATAGGTAAAATTGTGATAGCTAAAATTGTGATAAGTAAGATTGTGATAGATAAGATTGTGATAGATAAGACTGTGATAGATTAGACTGATAAATAAGACTGTGATAGATAAGACTGCGATTGATAAGACTGTGATTGATAAGACTGTGATAGGTAAAATAGTCAAAGGTAAGATTGTGACAGATAAGACAGAATATACAAAAATGAATGTTAATAAAATAGGTAAATCAACAACAAAAAGAATTTGTTAAAAAAAGAATTTAAAGCCACATGTCATTAAAGGAAAAAAAATAGATCTATTAGCTGCTTTAGGCAGAGATTGAGAATTAAATATCATTTTATGTTTTTTAAATTTTTTTGTTAAAAGAACATTTTAAAAATGTAGATGGAAATATAAACTTCGGAGTAAATCATTGAACAAGAAACCAACCAGTAGCTATGGCTAGCTTATGCTTCAAAGCTCTGATGTCTTTTCCCATCTCATTTTCCTTGTCCTCTAGCTTCCTGGTCAGCTGTTCAATCTCCCTCCCACGGGCTTTGTACAAAATCGTCAGCTGCTCATAGGTCCGGCGTTCTTCTGGAAGATCTTGAAAAGCACACAAATTAAGATGCAGAAAATTCTAAAACTATTCTTTTTATCTTTTCATCCACTTGTTTTAACAGAAGAAAATTACCCGACACTAAATTTTTTTTTTTAAATATGTGTTTTACAATTTCATAACAACTTTCCCATGTAGTGTCGTTGGTTTTTTTAGAGGCATATTGTGTTCACATCAATGTCAAAATATCTAAAATAATAAGTTAGGGGGGGGGGGGATCAGTCTAAAAAAAGGGAACGGATGAGTTTCCTCCTGATCAGTGTACCTCAGACACTGTCAGGTTCCTGATCAGTGTACCTCAGACACTGTCAGGTTCCAGATCAGTGTACCTCAGACACTGTCAGGTTCCAGATCAGTGTACCTCAGACACTGTCAGGTTCCAGATCAGTGTACCTCAGACACTGTCAGGTTCCAGATCAGTGTACCTCAGACACTGATTATAGTTTGAATAAAAAATATGAGCTAGTTCTATGCACGCTGCACGTATTTCATTCATAGTGGGAAAAAAAAGAAAAGAACAACTGATAAAACAATAGCATATTTAAAAATGGAAGACAAAAATCTTTCCAACATAAACATAATAGTATTTCAAAGGGGAGTGAGGCTCTACTTTAGGCTAAAATGTTTGGCTCCATATTTGTACCTGCTAGCCAGGTACCCTGGATGTAAGGCAGATATTCACGGGAATGAGGTAAACACTGACAGCGAAAATCTAAGATCGGAATGAAGCACTGGGATGACAGTCGTACCCATTAAATTACAGACATAAGAAATTTGAAGTACTAAATAAAACCGACAAACACAAGTCTGGCGGGTGCCTTACCCTTTTGAAAAAATTCAATGTGGTCACTGTTTAAATAAAACTGCTCCTCCCCTTTGTTCTCATCTTTCTTGTTATAGATTACTTTGTACTGTGAGTATGGGTCGTTGCTAGAATCTGGAATCTGAAAGTAACATTTTGAGAGGGGGGAAGGGTTTTGTTTTAAAGAGAAAACATTTCAAATAATTTTATCTAATAATATGTTATTGGACACAATATTTTCTTGCAAATTAAACCATACATAAAATTTATAAACAATTTATGACATTTATAATTGCTACAGCTCTTCTTACTTGTGGGTTGTTTTCAGTTGGTTTAGGTTTCTGAAGTTGTGCGGAAGTTGGAAGAGAAGGTGGGGGTGTTAATGGCAGAGCTGGGGCAGGTGCGCCTTTCTGATATTGCTGCTGCAGAAACGGGCGGTTGAATGTATCTGCTGCTCTCATGAAAGTATGTCCGCCATTCGTTTCACCTGGATCGGCGGGTGTGCCGGCCTGCTGGTTGGAATGGTGTAAATTGAAAACCGGGTTACTGTCCATGGCCTGCCCGTCAACAAGATTCTGTTGGATGGAGGGCTGGTATGGATGTGAAGCAGTTGTGGGTGCTTTTATCTGCAACATCCATTCATCTCCTCCGTGAAAAACATTATTAGTTTTTCCAGAGTCACCTAGCTGGCCGGTGGGTTCAGGAAAATTGTAATCAGTTGATGAGTTTTTAGTGTACAGGTACTCCTGTCTGAGGTCAGCCGGCTCACTTTGGTCAGGCCTCTTAATTTGGGGACCGGAACCTACATGGTCATAAGTCACAAACCTATAATCATTGCTGTAAGGTGCTTTAGTTGACGGATTGGTATTTTCCTTTAGGTTTTGCTGATCTGACAAACTTAAATAGCCGGAAACATCGCTGTCCCCATGAGTGTCTTCATTTTGACCCTGTCGATTGTGTACATTGGAATATTGATATCCATAGGGGTGCACAACATTTTGTTTTGCAGAATCAATTAGATCTGAATCAAAATGAGGCTCAAGGCGTCTTCTGTTTTTGTCAAACACTTCAAATGAATCCTGACCATCGTAATCAGAAACATTAGGGTTACTGAAAAGGTTCGGAGGATTTTGAGTAGCCATCAAGTGATGGTCGCTCTCTGCATGCCTGGTTCTGCTGGGTGGGCCAGTGTTGTGAGGCAAGGCATGAAGCCCAGACAAATTGTCAGTTGATGCCCTCAAAGAATGATCACCTCCGAGGCCATTTTGCATCTCCTCCAATCTTTTACCACCATTCTGATGATGAAACGGAGCCAACTGGTTGTAATTTTCGTGAAGTCCTTCAGGAATGGAATGAGATTTCCACCTGGCCCTTGACAGAGGTGATGTTTGTGGATGTCTTGGAAGCTTTGCAAAAACTGGGCTTACCTCAGCTTCTGAATGAGAGACATTCCTGCAATGTACATGAATGATTACAGTTAGGAATACATCACTCAATATTTACGCATTAAAATAGATTGTATCATAGCTCAAAAATAATCCCTCATTCCATTTTTTTTTTTAAAGTGAAAAAAAAAAATAATAATTTAAAAAATGAGAGTATAATGCTTGAGGCATGTGAAGCAGTGAATGTGATTACTGTGCTTAACTGTACCTGCTAACCTTACTTGTGGTAAGTAAGCTTAACTGTAACTGCTAACCTGACTTCTTGTAATTAAGCTAAACTGTACCTGCTAACCTGACTTGTGGTAAGTAAGCTTAACTGTACCTGCTAAGCAGAGGTCTGAGTGGAAGGAAGTAGTGAGGCAGGCCAAAGCCCTACATTGGCAGTAGTGTCACAGGGATGGATGGATGTACCTACTAACCTGACTTTTAATTAAGCTTAACTGTACCTGCTAACCTGACTTGTGGTAAGTAAGCTTAACTGTACCTGCTAACCTGAGGTCTAAGTGGAAGGAAGTAGTGAGGCAGGCCAAAGCCCTACATTGGCTGTAGTGCCACAGGGATGGATGGATGTACCTACTAACCTGACTTGTTGTAATTAAGCTTAACCATACCTGCCAAGTTGAATTGTTGTAATTTAGCTTAACTGTACCTATTAACCTGACTAGTAATTAAGATTAACGATACCTGCCAAGCTGAATTGTAGTATTAAGCTTAACTATACTGCTTTTTTTTTGGAGGGGGGGGGGGGCGACACCAAACCTTAACCAGCTTGTTTATTTGTTTTTTACTGTAGGGGCCACAGTACATACCAATTTAACTAACACCTGAAAATTCATGGGGGGGGGGGCGACACCAAAACTTAACCAGCTTGTTTAGTTGTTTTTTACTGTAGGGGCCACAGTACATACCAATTTAACTAACACCTGAAAATTCAGTAGGGGGGTGAATTCCACCCCCCCCCCCCCCCCCCCACCTTTTGCCCTACCTAAATGATGTCCATGCCACTTATTACTATGCTTAAATGTACCTGCTAAGCTGACTTGTTGTATTCTGACTTTCTTCTCCTGAATCCTCATCTGACTCAGAATAAAAATCATCTTCAAATTCCTCCAGCTCAGTTGCTATGGCTCGCTGCAGCTGTGATGGGGAAAGTCAATACAATTGTCATTTTGAGACTGATAATTCTTTTCTGATGAGAATTAAGGTCAGTAAACAGCACGCATAGTAATTATAGTAAGCTATAGCACTGAAATTTTAATTATTTTTTTCTAATTTTGATCTTAAGTAATAAATTCATACAAGAGGTCAATATATTATATTAAGGCTAAGGCAGACACTTTTTATGCAATTTAAACAAAATATTGAAGAATTTTTTTAACTTCTTGAAATATGAAGAAAATTACAAATGTTGAAATCTAAGAACATAATTATAAATTTAAAAATTTACATTGAATAATATGTAAAAATAAGCCAAAATAATTCACCTCTCTTGCATGTCGTTCATCTTCACGTAATAGTTCGGCCTCCTGTTCATCTTGTATAGGTTTTCCATCAAAATAGACTGATACACCTGGCGTATCCACTAGGCTTGTGTCAACACTCATTTTAAATTAGTTCCTGTTAATAGGTAATAAAATTAGAGGTTGTAAGAATGATTAAAAACAACAAAATGGAAATCAAACATAATGCCGTAAGAAAACAGATTATAAATACTTTTACTAGAACCTTGCCAATATTTTAAAGAATTGAGAATATAAAATTCATCATTTTGGCATAGCGCCATCTTGTTACTTTAAATTTAGCAAAATTTAGGCTATTGGTCTTTGTCTCAATTCATGTCACAGTGATAACTAGTTGTATAATATATTATAATATATATAGTATACTGCTAGATTATGTCAATGTATGACTGTAAATATAATAATTATAGCTATCTATATTAAAATTTATAAGTACAGCCTATACTATAACTATAGACACTAGATACTACTAATAATATTATACATACTATATTAGTAATATATTATTTTGCATAGTATTCCCCTAGACCAATAGCCAATAGTAGATATAAATAGTCCTACTCAAGTAAAATAAACGTCTAACTCAATGACTTCAAAGAGTAATTCAATTGACTCACCACTTGATTTCACTTCTACTTCTAGTCTAGTCTTTTTCATTATCATTCAATCAAAGTTTCCTAGAGGTGAGTGTTGTGAGTCTGTTTACTGAGTACTGTGTCAGTCAGAGTCAGTGTGTTGTTTTTATTTCCTTTGAATCTTGAAAAAGTTATAATTTAATTTTGAAATGAAGGCAGACCTGCATGCAACCCAGTTACTAAGACTAAGACTAAGAGAAAATAGACCCTAAGAGAAAGGGTCTATTAAGTCTACCTGCATTATTATATTATATATTTTCTAACTTGTACACCTAGAAATAATAGAAATAGTAAGTAATAGTTAGTAGTGATTTAACAGATATGTTACACACTTACAGTACAGTTAGTCCGAGTTAGTACAGTTACAGTTAATTGTCAATTGTTTAAGTTTAGATTTAAAAAACATTATTTTATCATTTGTTTTGTTTTTTTAATTTTATATTGTGTGTGGAAATCCCAGATCAGTGACAAACTGAGAAATGAGACAATTCAGTCAGGAGATGTCACTAAATAAGAATCACACTCACTTGGACGCTATTTCTGATTCAATGTGCGAACTATATTGACAATGTCGTGTCGTGTCTGAACATGTTGTTTTTTTTTTTTTTTGTTGTTTTTATATAGTTCGTGTTATTAGTACTCACTCTGTAGTCTGTTCGGTGTTAAAATATATCTGTATTAATTTCATTTGATGTGTATAAAATACAAAGAACTCTATTAATATGTCACTTGAATTGTGAAAAAGGTTTTAATGGTAACATTCGTTTTTATCTTGAGTCTTGTTTTAGACATTTTCGTGAATTCAAAATCAAAGTTCACAACATTGTTTATGTTTCGAAAACGTCGCATATGTAACAACAATGCTCCCTCTAGTTTGATTTCATGGCATATACAAAAGGAATTTCCAGATATAACTAGAAAGAAACAAAACAAACTTTTTTCTTAAAATGATTGTCACAGAAAACGACTAGCACTGTTTAAATTATATTAGTAAACCAAATTACTAACGTAATTTAAACAGTGCAAGTTTAACAATGGTGCATCAGTCGCCAGTCCTACATAGGCTACCTTATTTATTCTTTTTTTTTTTTTTTTTTTTTTTTTTTTTTTTTTTGCCTTAACGCCTTAGCCTAAGTGCCTTAGCCTTAACAAAAAAAAAGCTACCGGTATTATAATTTATTATTATATATTACTACTAGAATATATGACCCGGTGTTTCTGGACCACAATTCAAGCATATTGCACTAATCTCCACCGTTATTTTGCAAAGTTTCAACATCTAAATATCCAATGTAACTGAATCGAGGTTTGGTGTACTATATCAAGAATGCAACAAAAACATTTTTTTTAAAAATTAAAATTCGTTTTAATTAAATCATCAGCGTCCGCGAAATTAACATTTAGGAAATAATAAAATGGGACTTTCCTTCCTTCTAATGACAAATCTATGTAGCCTATAGATATTTACGTTTCTCACATCATTTGGTTTTGGTTTTCTTCTTTCATATAATAGGCCTATATATCAAACCAACCTATTTTCACGGCATGGAAACAAACAACACAGAAAACATATTTTCAACAACAACAAAAATTTAAAGAGTGTACTTAATTTTTTAAAAATGTATATTTCAATAACCTTAGCGTTAATGCATTTAGATAAATTGATATATTGCCTTACAAAATTTACTCATCCTCTTCCTATATTATATCCTAAACAATAGTAACGGAAAGTCATTAAAAACAAAATTCTTATATTTAAAGTCGAATATCTTTTTTTAATTTTTACGTCTCAAAGTCTTGTGTTTTTTTTAAAGATATATTCTCAAGTTAGTAGCATAAAAATGTCCTATGCCCCTAAACTGTAATGTGAACTAAATGTAAAAAAAAAAGAAAAACTGAAAAAATATTTTGTTTTAGACCCATTGAACCATTGTGTTTTAAATTTAGACCAATTGAACCATTGTGTTTATACCATTTAGACCCATTAATTAAGTTGTTTAAAGTTTTAGAAAGCAAAATATTAAATTAATTTAGGGAAAGGTCTAGAGTTGTTGCTTTTAAAACAAAATAATTTAAAATACTGTTATTTAGAAAGATATATACAAATATTTATGGGTTTTCAAAATTTGGTCATTTTTATAAACCGTATAGGCCTACTTACGGTAGAGTTATGTTAAGAAGACATGCTTTGTTTACAAAAGACATCATATCTTTATTTTAATATGTGATTTTTATCTGAGGGAAATCGTATAACAATAAAGTAGGCCTATATGTCATACATTTCTCAATGTTCATTAGATTGAAATTTTTATTTGGAATTTCAAACTACTTTAACTTTTTTTCAGATATATTACAAATTGTCTCTTCGGTATAGGATAGGCCTACTTAAACACATTTAATTTTTTTTTTTTTTTTTTACCGAATCTGCATAATCTATTTCAAATTGAAGATTTAGGAATATAATTGTTTTGTAAAAAAAGTACCAAAAAATTGGAATTGGAATGATAATTTATTTGGAATTTCAAACTACTTTAACTTTTTTTCAGATATATTACAAATTGTCTCTTCGGTATAGGATAGGCCTACTTAAACACATTTAATTTTTTTTTTTTTTTTACCGAATCTGCATAATCTATTTCAAATTGAAGATTTAGGAATATAATTGTTTTGTAAAACAAGTACCAAAAAATTGGAATTGGCATGATAATCGAAATGCTAGTTCACAAACATCTTTTTATAATTATTATTATTATTTAGCATTCTACTAAGATTCTAATCTAGGAAAAAAAAATATAATGCGTGCAAATAGGTGAGGCAGTTTGTTATTCTGTTATTTAAGAGACAAAGGCAGCTCGGAACTAAATAAATAAAGGCTAATTTTGTTTGTTTGTTTGTTATTTTTTTTTAACTCGTTACTCAGGAAACTTTGTTACCAAAGTAGAACATTTAAATAAAAAAAACAACAACAAAAAACGCTTTTGATTTAATAAAAATAGATGAGACCTGCACTATTTGCATTCGTCCGCTAAATTCTTAATTAAAATTATACTTATAATTGAATTTTTTTTTTCCATTTATCTAACTCATCATGCATGGAATGGAGTACATTTAAAAGTATGCCACCGATAACAATATTTTTTAAATCATGCGTCCATCATAAAATTTATAATTATCACCTAGTACTATTTTAAAAATCTTTCTTTTGTGATTAAAATAATTTGGAAATAGATTGCGCATATCTGATACCTAGCATGAGCTGTATGAAAATAATAATTATAGACCTTGATATGATGCAAACATAGTTTAATACAGTGTTATTAAAGTGTAACGTTGCATAAAATACATAAATAAAAATGACGATAATTGCGAAAAACAAGCCTTCGGCTTATAATTAGTCAATGAGTAAATCAAAGTAAGTTTAAACCTGAAAAGGGGACGCAACAAAACAACGAACATGTCGGCAGGAAGCCTTCGTCAACGAACAGACAACATAATAAAATATAAAAAATATATAAAAAATATTGCACTTAGCTGAGACGTAGTAGTAGTGTCCGAGAAGGCAGCAAAAGAATTGTGACAGAAAATAAGTGGGTGAGGATAAAGTAGGGAAGAGGGAAAAAAAAGAGAAGAGGAGAATTTGGTTTAATGCGATAGGTCGTGATGTGGAACTTTCTATTTCAATATGACTTGTAATGCAAAATAGATGTTACATATTTTGCAAATCCGTTCAGACAGCGATGTTATTATTGTTACTCACTTTACTTTCCACTAATCCTCAAAATATCGTATTCCCACTCTATCAATACAATTTATCTTGACCACAAATGACTCTTGAACCTTGTCCTTGTTCTATACCTGCAACATGACCACAAACATACCGCCCAAGTCATTTGCGACACATAGAATCTACAGTCAAAGAAAGGCCAACTTTTGACTTCTCTTGCCTTATCTAAATGTGCTAGCTTTCTGCCCAGCCATCAGCAGTGCACAGACACACACTTTAAATAAATCTTATATTGTTAAAAGCCTACACGTTTATATAACTATTTTAACTTACACTCATTAAATTTTTTAAAATAATTTAATAACAAGTCAATTTTTAATATTAAAATTTTAATAGAGAAAACATGGTTGTTGACGTCAACTAATTCAATCCCACCCCCTTTTCCTCCTTGCCAACAATTGTCAACATTTCCAAACCCCTCCCCCCTATTTCGTTGACATGATTAATGGACGTCCTCTTGACAATTTTAGTCATTCGAACATCCAGTAAGATATCTTTACCTATTTTAACTCTCAAGACACCATTGAATCAGTCTCTATATTTTAATCGATGAAAATCAATACAATGCAAAAATATTTACCTCTTTTTACTTAAAATAAAATGGTTCCCATAAAAAAATAATTTAATTAAATAAATATTGCGTTGTTTGCATTTGCGCAAAGACTCCAGAGACTTAATCTTCTAGCTCTGCTTACAGCCAGGTGACTCGTGAGTTAAAAAGCACATTCTACTATGATCGCTTACAGGCTTAGGACTCTGTGACTATTTAAATACCTGATATATTATTATTATTTGTTTATTATACTTTGTGATGCTTAGACGACGCTCCGCCTTTTCCCCCAATGCATACGCAATCTAGGCCTATAAATATTAATGGTCCCATGTATGCCTGGCTGGGTAGACACCCTCACTCACACAGTAGGCACCATTTTTATTTAATTTTTTTTCTATTTAAGGGTGTTGTAAGTTTGAATTAGATTCTTGGTAAATGATGATCATTAATTCTCACTTAGTCACTGCAAAGGCAAAGCCTGTCAGTTTCAATTTTCATGGTGCAGTTAAAAATAAACAATTATCCACATTATAATATATAATTATATTATAAATATTATATTGTTTGCTATTAAAGTTTTGAATATATATATTTTCAAGGGTAGCTTTTCAATTTACACATTTTAGTTTACCCCAGCCCTAGGGAGATGATTTAAAAAAAAAAAAAAAAAAAAAAAAACAAAAAAAAAAAATAC